GCATACGTTTGATAATTCAGCGAATGTGGAAAGTACTTATGCATACGTTTGATAATTGTACCTGATGATGACAAAAACCTTGTCGAAACGTTGTACATTTGCTGTCATGTTAAACTTATATTAAAGTTTTTCTTCATTACCCATTTAAGCCGTCTCCAGCCATTATCATATCACATAGTGTTTTTTTGTTCAGTGCTGCCCTCTATACGCAAAATTTTTCTCTTTCCAACAGCCTCAATACTTCAACCTACCCTGTATTTAACATGGTACAGCTGTGTTGTAACATGCAAATAATTATGCAACAACCCTTCAACAATAGGAGCATGATTATTTGCTGTTGCAGCTGGCTCCCTCTATACTGTAGAATCCAATCTTCACTTCTCAATTTGGCACAGTAGAATGCAGACATTTCAAAATTTTGCTCATGTTTGCTTAGTATTTTGCATTAACAGTTTAATTTGTTAACCAATTTTCTGAGGTGTTTTTAGTTTTCTTGATTTTTATTTTTTCTACAGTGAAACTAGATACTATAGGTTGATATTTCATTGTTGAATTTTAATTTACAAATTTCAATTCACAACAACTACTACTGTACTTCAATGTGCAGTTTCTTAGGCTTCAGGCTTCACGTTTTCTGTTGAGGAGGCATCAGATTTTAGGATGTTGTGAGGTGGGGTCTATTATGTGGCCTGATGTGTCTCTTGATCACAGACCAGATTTTCTTTTCCTGAGGAACCTTTACAGGAAGATGCTGATTTGGATAGCCTGTTTTGTCCTCCTTCCGATGCCATGCAATCCCAAATTCCTACTGTGGAAGTTCCCAGACCGTTTTCAGCCTTCCTAGATATGGTTTCACAGGCTTGTTATCTTTTGTCTTTATCCCTTTTGTCTCCTTTCCTCCTGAATTCTGCTCCTTCCTTGGATTAACTAGTTTATTCCTTCTCCAGAGGTCAGGTTGCATATGAACCTGTTTATTGCTCTATTATATTCTGGAGTCAGCATGTCTCCTCTCCCTTGTCCCTCAGATACATACGAATTAGTGTACCATCATTCTGATTTTCTGTTTATGGACTCTCAGACTTTGGAGTTTTTTATTGTGACATGGGGATCTGCTCCTAATGTCACTGAAATACTTCCCAGGCCCAAATTTCCCATTTTTGTTTGCTCCTAACCAACCTCCTATCTCATATTCGTGGCTATCCACTTTTCCCCAGAGGGGATGTCAGAAGATGCTCACTCCCTCATGTATTCCATGTTGGTGCACTTATTTTTCTCAGCTCTTTTCCCACATCCATGGCTCCTCTGCTTTGGGACATCCTGGGTGTGCATGCATTTTTAGCTGATGTATCCAGATCATATTTCTGAGTCCTTCTTATGGCTCCATTTTTTTATGCCAAGTGGTTTTTGGAGATTTTCCTGATTCACTGGAGTCCAGAGTGAGAGCTGCTCACCAACACTCCTCATTTTCCTCCTTAGTCTCTTGTATTTTACAGCATTCACCTACTCCTGTTCCTGTTTTCCCTCCCTCCCCTTCTCCCAAATCTTGGCAGCTCTTCTTCCAGTTATTCATTGGTGGGTGCCTCGCTCCCGATGATACTGGTAGTTATATCATAGGTTTTGGTGAGTTCAGAGCACGTTTTGCCAGGTTTATGCACCATTTGCTTTATCTCTCCACCTACCTGATCCTCATTTCTCATTCCTTTCCCTCTTCCTCAGGATTCAGTTTTCTTGCCAACATATCAGATATATTTTATTCTCAAGGACACCACATTATCCACTTGAGAGGATTCATTAACTCCTATCTCAGTCAGGCCCAGCTTTCTCCTCTTCAGTTGATGGAGCTTTTGGTTCTCAACTCTTAATCCTCTCCATCTTTTACCACACGCAAGGTTCTTTCTGTTTTGGAGGCTTAAGCTTCTATGGAAGCCTTCATTCCCTAGGGTTGTACTCACTTGCACACATTTTAGTGGGGCTGCATGTTAAATGGAATTTTTCTCTGGATCCCATGAACTCAGTTCTCCTTCTCCTTTCCTCATTACACATCTGTTTAGCATAGTGGTTCAAACAGGATCAACACCATGGTGGGCGTTTCTCTTCTACCTCCCCATCCTGGATTTCATCTTTTTACAGATGCTTCTCTGAAAATCATGAGTCTTTGGTCGAGTTGGCTCTGAACATCAGTTTTCCGCAGCTTTTTGCCCTTCATCAAGCTTTGGATCATTTACAACTTTTCATACAGGACAAATTGATCATGATCCATTCTGACATTTAGACCATTGTATCTTCTATCACTCAACAATGGGGCCCCCATACATTTGCTTTGTTTTCAAATGTTAGGACTCCTATTCACACACTTAGCAGGGTGTCATATTTGGCGTGTTATAAATCTTGTTGAGGATCAATTGTCTCATCCCAACAAGATTCTCCTCATGGAGTGGTTCCTAGTTCTTCAGGTGTATGGATGGTCCTACACCCAGTGGGTTACTCCACTTCTGGATGCATTAGCTACCCACCTCAATTCCAAGCCAACCCTTTTTTATTCCATGGTTCCACATCCTTTGTCTTTGACAGTAGATCCCTTCAGTCAGGATTGGTCATCCTCTACTTTTATAACTGTTCCCACCACATAATTCCTCCCCTCTTCAAGTGGAGTACAAGAGTTCTTACCAGTTACCAGCTCTTAGCTGCTGAGGTAGTGGGCCAGGGAGTGTTCTCAATCCCATTCAGTTGAGAGAAGGGCAGTGGTGTTCTGTTGGTATAGATGGTGTAAACCATTCTTCTACCACGGACCAGGAGAAAAATACCCGATGATCCACCAAAATGCAGTTCACCCCTCCAACTGGGATCCCTCATCCTACTGCCACCTGGATGTTTGTTCCTGGGTAGTCTGGTGTTGGATTAGAGTTGGACCAGCCAAAATAAGTTTCCACATATGTGGTTGGCACGAAGCCCTCATCCTATTGCGGACTGGACAATAAATTCACAATACCACCAGTTTTTGGACTTGAGTGAACCACCACATTGCATTCCACTTCCTACTGCTGCTAAGATGTTGTGAACTGGGTCTGCACACATGCCCTGACTAAGATGACACAATGGAACCCATTTTCTCTTCTGCTTCCTCATCTTCAAGTTTAAACAGTAGGGACCCTCTTCCTACTACAAATGGATGATAAATACCTGATGCTGTTTGGTTCTGGACTGGAGTTGACCCACCAATTACAGTCAATGCACCATATCCACTTCACACCATTTGGCACATCAAATTGAGTATTTGATGCGCTCCTTTTCTGTCAAATTAGCAATACATATTTTCAAAATGAATGAAGAGTATACATGGTTTAAATATGGTGCAGTATCCCACAGGTGTGTTCCTCTACCAAGAGATGTAGCACTCCATGGTGTTCTTCAGACACTTTCCTGAGGATGCCAATCTAGGTAAATTTTGCACCAGCTCCACTATGTCAGTGAGTGGAGGTAAGGTATCATATGGGAAGTTAAAACTTTCTTACACAGAAAATATATCTTTTTTTTTTTGCCTAATATCAAAGTGAAGATTGGGTTTTATAATATAGAGGGAGCCAGATTCAACAGGAAAGTATGTTGTAATCCTATTGATGGAGGGTTGTCACATGATATGCTACAATGCAGCTGTACCACATTAAGCATGGGGTAGGTGGAACTATCAAGGCTAGCATCGAGAGAAAAATTTGTGCACATAGAGGGCAGCACTAAACAAGAAAAGCTATTATGTGAGAGGAGGTAAGTATCTATCAGAAATATATTTTCAATGCAGTAAAATTTTAATTTTTGCAACCTTTCAGTAAGCATTACAAGTCTTTTATAGACTAACATATCTGAATTTGTAATGAAATTATTTTTACCAAAAATTTCTCCATGAATACATGGAGTCAAAGTGTTGACTGCTTCAAGGGCAAAGTGATTTTCATGTTAAGATCAAAAATACTTCAACTGAAAATTGTCAAATTGTATAATCTCTAAAACCTCGTAATAATTATATTTCAAATGTTTTGGTTTTTTTCAGTTAACCTTTATATATTATCTGTTATTTTCTCTACCTTAAATCTGTATAGAGTTGATCAAATTGAATGACCTTGTAACCACCATAAAAAATGTGTGAAATAAATCTAAATTACCCTTTTTGTCTTTCTAGAATGACTTCCACTTGTAACAGAAAACTAGACTTGTTTATCTTAAAGAGCTTAAAACTAGTAACATTATACATCTGTTTCTACTTAAATATTATTGTTTTATTACCCTTTGAACCCTGTCTAACTGAGAATCTTGTAACACAAGTTGTAAATCTCTCTGTGAAAGTGTAACTTAGGTTACCCTATCGAATGATGTAATGCATGTAATAAGTTTAATTATTACTTTTCTTTATCTTAACTAATCTAGCCTAATAAGTTTCTAATTTTTATGTCAGTTTTAAATTATAGCTACTTTTATAATACTTACCTGGGTCATCATCATCTTTTTTTTTTTTTTTTTTGCTGTCACCTGTTGATGAAACTTAACCCAACTTTTTTTATATTGATGGTATTTCTAGACTAAATAATTTTTTGTTTAGGCAAATAATGCACCTAATATCATAGAATAATAACACATAAAATAAGACAACATTCTATAACTATCATATTTTTTGTAGCTTTCCAACTATGCAATAAAAGCTGTTAAAAATTTAGCTAAGCTCATTGATGCATTTCCTGTGGGAATAAAGTTGGAACTGGAAGCAAAATAAACAATATTCTCTTACAGAAAAGAACCTAATATGATATGTCATTTGATGTGACACACATACTGGCTTTTAGATAATGTGATGTATGGTGTCATCTACAATTATCTATAACATAATCATCTAAAAAATATCAACATAATGACCCGAGCAAAGCCGGGAATTTCACTAGTGTAAAAATATATATATATATTAATGGGTTTTCCTGGTGTTTCACTTTCTTTTTATGGGTTTTTTCTCTGTGCTTCACTGAAAAGTCCATTCACAATTATGATTCTGATTTTGTAAGTTGTCTTATATTAAAAAAATAGGCCTGAGCATGGCCTACTGGTTAGAGTGTCTGGACCAGGAACCTGAGGGTTAATGGTTTACATCCCATTGCCACAAAAACGTGTTCTACACATTGGGGATGTAGATGTTCTATAAGATTTATGATCAAATTCTACTGTATATTCAGACAAGAATAGCCCAAGAGTTGGGAATGGGTGCTATTTACTAGTTGTTTTCCTTCTGGTCTATCAGTTCAAAATTAGGAAAGATTATGTACAGATAATCCCTATGTACTTTGTTGACAAAAATTATAAATAAACAGACAATTAAAAAAGTAATTATTAATCATATATATATTTTTTTTGTAATGTTTGAACATACTTGGAACCTACATAAAAAATACACCAGTGATAGAACTGAACATGTGTACATATCTTTGATAACTAACTTCATTTTGATGTAACTTAGTACCTAACAAAATAGTAAACAATGTATTACTGCATATGAAATAGACATTTGTATTTTCTCTTCATCAGTGCTCTAGCAGACTTGAGAAATTGCTTACAGAAGAAGAGAGTAAAAAAGACAGTATCCTGCTTGTCTGAAGATGGTATCACAAAAGGGACCCAAGGGGAAATGGAGAATTTCAACATGAAATGTTCATCTGTAAAACTTTCAGTTTCTTGTTTTTTTGTGCTTGGAACAATTGTGATAACTTTATTTTTTTATAAACGTTGAAGTTTGATGCTGTTGAAAATTATGTTGGACAATTTTTAAATAGAAATGAAAAACATTTTTTCAATAACTTTATGGTGCTGTTTCATGAAAAGAAAATCCCTTTTTTCACTTGTTCATCTCTTTTTTTAGATACTTAAAAGATACTTTATTGTAACAGTATCTAATGGAAAGTGTAATTCACATTTCACAATGTTCAATCCCATGTGTATTTTGCTATGTTGTGTTTTAATGTCAAAGTTTGTAAGTCAACTGTTATTTTAAAAAGCTATATATGTCAACAGAAATCTCAGAGCTTGAAAAGCATCATCTGTTATAATAAGTAATTTATTTGCTCACTGAAAAAATATTTAGCTAGTGATGAAAAATTCTTTGCTTATAGTTCGTTTCATCAAAGATGACGATGTGTTTCTTGGCATGTTTGAGATAATTTTAAAAATATCATTAACTAGTAGTGAGCACAAATTTAATTATACTTTGAATCTCTAAAGAAATTTTCAAATCTTAAATGCTTTTAAATTGCATGTGGAAAGAAGTATATAAAGGATTTTATGGTAATAAATAACACAAAAATCATAATATTTTCATTTGTGCAAAAGTGACTTTCAAAACTTACAATTGGATATTATATCTGATTTTTGTACTAGAACTAATAATTATTCTAATTTAAAATATTTGGTAGTTTGCACATTCATGACTTATGAAAAATCCATAAGTTGATTTGTTTTATTATACAACATTTTTGGTGTAGTAAGATTTTCCAACATAAATTGGTTGTTAGGGAAACCTGTTGAGCAACTGACTAGATAATTCATGAAAATTTAGTCCTATGATATAAGTATTTGCTTATTTCTAGTTTTTTGGTTAAAGAAGTGCAGCATTTTATTGTGGTTCTGAATAAAATAAAAGCAGTCATACTTAACGCATCCATCGTTAATAGGCATAATGTTGTGACTCTATCTGGTAATTTTTATTATATAACAAATAAAAATAAAGGATTGGAAGATACAGGGTGGCCCAAAATTATCTTTCCTATTTAATAATTAAATAACTAAGAAAGTACAACCATGCAGTTTTCAACATCTTTTAGATCAACTCAAACATTATTTGCTGTCGTGCTTTTTTTTTCACTCCAGTGAAAAAGCTCATTATAATTTGATTGGTCGTGGTGGACCAATTCCATGGCCTTCGCATTCACCAGACATCACTCCACTAGACTTCTTTCTTTGGGGGTATGTTAAGGGCATTATGTATCACACACCTATAGCAAACATCACAGAGCTAAAGGCCAGGATAATGGATGCCATCGCCACTGTAACTGTGAACATGTTGCAGTGAACGTGGACTGAAATCAAATATTGGTTAAATGTGCTGATAGCCACTAATAATGCACACGTAGAAGTCTACTTAGATGTCAATAAAAAGTGTTTGAGTTTGGCTACAAGATGTTGAAAAGTGTATGGTTGTAATTTGTTAGTTAGTTAATTATTAAATTTTAAAATAGGAGAGAAAATTTTTAATCAACCTGTATATGAAACACTTTAATACATTTATATTCTTGTTGGTTTGAATTTAAAGGTAAATAACTTCTTTTTTTTTACAATAGGCTACGTATTGAATGCATGTTTGTTAGTTTATGATAAAGAAAATGTTTTAATTTGCATTTTTTGCTTGCTGTGATTCAACAGTACACTGAAATGTGGCTAAAAGTAGGTGATGTCTAAGACATTGCATTTCCAGTAATGTTATAAAAATCATGATTTAATGTTTTATACATACATGTATCCTTTCTTTTATGGTAAAATTGTTGTTCCAATTATCTTTATTTTTTTCTTTATACTTCAAGTAAAATAAAAATTTGCTAGAGTTTGACTAGTCAACCAGTCAGATCTTGACTGAATCTCTTTTAGTAAGAAAACGTTTTTATTTCTTTGTCATTTTGTTTTTGATAGCAAATAAAACTAATCAGTTTTTGGTTAGACAATCAGTTAGATCTTAATAAGTTGTTATACAGGTTATAAAAAAATAAAATCTTGGGTAGTCAGCCAATTAAATCATGACTAGGATATTGTATGAATTTTTTTTTCCTATCTTTTTCCCTGTTGTTTGGCCTATGGTTCAGGGTGCTTGACTCATATTGGGTCCTGGGATCAAAACCCTGAGGTGAACATTCTCTCCTTTCAAGCATGGGGGCATTGTAATATAACAATCATTCCCACTGTTCATTGGTAAAGGAGTAACCCAAAAGTTGGCAGTGGGTGCTGCTGACCAATTACCTTTTCTCTGGTCAGCAGTTCAAATTGAGGGATGACAGCACACAACCTTGATTACTCTGCCATAAAACAAACAAAACTCTTCGTGGTTTAAAAATAAATGCAAGAAATATGAAAACTGGATGATCAAGAAACTAGATCTCATCAGCTTTTTGTATTTTTGTATGCTATTTACCATTTTATTATATTGAAAAAATAAACACTTTTTATTATATATATATATATATAGAGGGATTTTCCATACCAATAACATGATGGCAGAAAATGAACCAAATATGTGGGGTGTAGTTTGCTAAGTTTGCAGATCAAGTTGATCAAATTTGAATTTAAAAGACTTGTAAAAGTGTGTCATAGATCAAGAAATTTGCTGAAATATCAGAATTGGTAAAATCAAAGGTCTATTGAGCAATACAGAACAAGCTTCTTTTGCATTATTTTGTGACAAACTATAGCCTCCATCTTGAAATTAAATTACGAATTTTCTACAAAAACTTTACTTAATCTGTGCTTTAAATATAGTGTTTTAAATGTGTGTATATTTTTTATAAAACTAACTATTTAGATAATATTTTAATATGGCTGAAATTTGATAGTTATGAAATTATAAGTTCAATATTTTTATGTAATAATCATCAAAATGAATACTAGCCTCAACTAGTAATGAACACTTTTTTATTGAACCAGCTATTTGTATGAATAAATTTCTATAAAAGACAACCGTATTAGAGAACCTTCTGATAATTTACCATTCTATACATTGTTGTTACATCATTCCAGTTTTATAACTCAGTTCTAATGTATAAGAGGTTTAAATTTTATTACCTTATTATTTTTTCTGTAACTTTGTGTAATGAATAATTATACGTATTTACTCTGTCTTTTCAATGTGTTGAGTCTGGTAAACTGCAGGGAGAACCATATTTTTGTTGTATTTATGTTTTAGAGGCCTAAGATATATATTCTGCATAATGTATTCCTTATAAATTAGTTATCACTGTTACCGAATCAGTGCATTCAAATCTTCAAATTGTGGTGTTCCAAATAACGTACTTGCTATTTAAAACATTCTGATGACTTGTGTATTTATCTATATGACCTGTATCTGCTATTATACATGACTAGTGAGATTTTTCAAAATCTTTCAATAAAAACTATCATTTATATTTTCTGTGGAATTTCGAGATTATTATAAACAAGCATTTTGAGAAAACGCTATAAATCGATATTAACTATATATAAAAATAAGTAAGATCGTAATTAGACTTGGAACTTGTTTTAACAAAAGCGCTATGTCACTTCCGTCCCTCACCCTTCAGCGGGAAGTCTGGCGGCTAATAACGCTAAAAAACCGAGTTTCGATACCCGTGGTGAGCCCAACAGATATTCCATTGCTTATTTTTGTACTTGACCACAAAAAATATTTCCCTGTGACTCAGCAGTCAGCGCGAAGGGATATCACGGTAGAATTCGGGGTCCGATCGCAGCGGCAGACACAATGCAAATAGAATTTTATGCAGCTTTGCGTTAAACTAAAACAAGTGACGTTATATCTTTCACAAGATTGGTCTAGTTTATGTAAAACGTGTATATTAAATATAAAACAAACAGTTTTATTTAATTTTCCGTTTTGTATGTAACATTTCTCAGTACATATGCCATATTTGTATAGTTGGTTAATTATGTTGTGCAAAAAGTTACCTTGACGGTTAATGTCAAACTTGGGAAACTGGAATCGTGATTAAGTACACATTGTGTACATATATACACACACTTCTATGAAATATAACTTCGCCCAGCGGTGAATAAATAATCTACTGCTCAGTAGAGAGCTAGATATGAGAATAGTGCTTAAAAAATAATAAATTTTGGCCTGGTTGGCACTGAATATAGTGTGTTGTACATTCTACTTTACCTACACTCTAAAGTTATTAAGACTTACTAATACAGTATTCTCTTGTTTACGCTGTGGTTGCTTGACGTGCTCCCGGATCATTAAGACTAGCCTGCTACTCGCTAGTTCAAGGGAAAATGATAATTCTGATTTATAAATGTTTCGTACATATTATTGATAATAATTATATTTCATGAACTTAAACTAGTTCACGCTATAACAGTTGATCGTGCATTAATATCAACCACTACTGGTATTGGGCGAAAGACCTTGTCGGCACTGGATGTAATAGATACAGTTTGGCTGACATATTGCTAAACATTCTTATTTACTTTCACTATTGAGTGCTTAGAATTAAATGATAGAATATAAAGTCATTAGCATATTCATCAAACGAGTAGTAACAGTTACATTTCAAAATATTTTTATAAAATTTAAATTAAGTCATATAATAAAAATGCCATAAAAATTAACATTGGAAAAAATATTCTAATAAACATCAAACTAATCACGGCGTAACTTCTAGGGAAAAAATGTGTTTAATAAAGAATATTAGTTTAAGAGAAAACATGCAGAATGTGGAAAGATAGCATTATATGAAGTCAATTTCATAAGAGAACATACCTAAACAAGAAGTAATTCTGTTATTGTTCATTTTTATGACATGAACAGCAATGGATGAAATATGATTTTCAGATAAGTAAAGTAATCGACCACCTAGAAGGTTCTATCTTTTGAAGGGTGTCATATCCATGATTACTGATGCTTCATATGTTATGGTGAAAGATTTGTTTGCAATTAAGCACAAAGCTACACAATAGGCTATCTGTGCTCTACCCACCGGTGAAAGAACTGTCTTAATTTGCACTGCGAGAATCGTGTTTTTTAAAGTGCTGATCGAATTTAACAGGCTGTAGTGAATAATAATGTCAGTGAAAATAAAATTGTGGTAGAAAGTCGTTTTTGATTTTTCGAATAGGACATCCAAATCATTGCGGAATGAAAAGCATGAAAATACCGAAAGAATAAAATTCTCTCTAAGCAAAAAATTTCACCAATAAATCATAAATATAAATGATAATTTTTAAACTGAACATTTTAAATTTAAAATACATATGACACTTTAAAACGGGTGAAAAAACTAAATTTATAAAGCGGTAGTTCGTGATCCTTCATGTACAATAATGTATGTAATTATTTAAACATTTTACAACAATGAAGAACAGGCTTCAATCTAATTTTTATTTTTTGTATTGTAAACTATTAACTGAAGACACTGTTACTTCAGATAATAGTATATTAATATATTGATACATTTGAAAAACATTGTGTTCCTGGATACAATACTTTATGATAACTTGATTATGTTGTACTGCGTAAAACAACAATGCAGAAGAAATATTATCTTCTTTTCAATAACAAAGGCGATACAGCATCAAAAGAAAAGGTTTTTTTTTTCAACTCCTAATTCTTAGCTGATACAATAGAGGTTTTAAGTGAAAATAATATATTTTAGCAATCGAACTATTGTTTGTTATAAACCATTACTATCCCCCGATGTGCCAGCGATAAGTTTACGGATTTGTGCGCTAAAATCCGGGGTTCAGTTCCCTGCAGTGAACAAAGTGCAGATAGCCCATAGCTTTGCACTAAAAACAAACAAAAAAGTAAGTATTTTTCTTTACTGGAATATTTATATCCTTAGCGGAGTTCATCAGCTTTGATTAGTTTCGTGTTGTTGTTTTCTTCGTGCAAAACTATACAACGAATTATCTGCGCTCTGTCCACCTACAGGGATCGAACTCTGGATTTTAACAGTTTAAGTCTTTTAAACTTACCGCTGACCCACCAGAGGACAGTGTTCATGCGAATCTTGGTGTTTTCATTACTTCAGTGTGTAATTAAGATTTTACCAAACACAAAACAGAAACATAGAATTGTGATTTACACTAACACAGATGTTTGGAGACCAGGAGTATCTCAGTGGTTGGCGTGACCGAATTGTATATCTGCAGATTCATGGCTCGCGTCCCGTTGCCTTAAAGAAAAAAAGACTCGCTCCGCATTTTGGACCTTGGGGTTCTATAAGAATGACATTCAATTATTTTTATTTGGCCAAATAAAAGTAGCCCAAAAGTTGATGTAATGGACAGTTTTATCTTAACTGATGTTTGACGTCATATCCACGGTTTTGATCCAGGTATGACCCACTGGAGTGATAACAAGGTAGGGGTCAGACTCGACAGGTTCTACGCCACCAGAGATATACTGCAAATGGCGGGGAAAATGTGAATAAGTCCGATTGGAAATTTAGACAATTATGTTATTATCACCACTAGGTCTTAACCAAATAGATCGAGGTCAGCGACATTGGAAACTCAATGTCCCTCTCAGATGTCAATAATACAATTAATGAGAGGTTAAAAACACTATGCGATACAGAAACAACCACAGAAAAAATGCTGGATGACCTTAAAACCGAAATTAAAACATTACTCAGAGTAAAAGGTAGAGAACAGGCCAAAAAACGAAATAAACAAATAGACTTTCTAGAACGAGCCCTTACAGTAACAGCCCAAACAACAACCCTGAATTTATAGATTCAGTGCATATGTAATCAAAGCTGAATTAAATGAGTTATACAATCAAAAAAATGAAAGCATAAAAATCAGAATATTATCAGAACAAGAAGAAACGTTTTCAGGATAATTCTACAAAGTATTCAATAACAATAAACAGAAATCCCACATAACATCACAAGCAGATAGTGACGGTAACGTACATAGACATACATAGTAAATTTAATAGTGCAGTTAATCACTATGCAAATCTTTAATCCACAAAACCAGTCAATAGAAATAAATTAAATAGAATAACAGAACATAAAACTGTTATCCTCACACACAAAAAAAAACAATAGCATAGCTGGCGCACTCACAATACAGGAGTGTTGTGAAGCGTTAAATAACATGAAAAATATAAATACTAGAAATAAACGACCTTATAACACCAAAATGTTGTTTTTATCTAATTAGACCCTCAACGTTTCGCTTTACAGCTTCTTCAAAGCTTGGTACGGTCAGTTTCGGATTGTGTTTTAGTGAACGTCCTGAAGCAACTGTAAAGCGAAACGTTCAGTGTCTAATTAAATAAAAACAACATTTGGGTGTTATAATTTCATTTATTTCTAATATTAATATCTTCTATACACCAATATGAACTACAGAAATTAAAAGGTGAAAAATAACAAAACATCTGGCCTAGGTGGAATACAGGCAGAATTTTACAAACAATTCTGACCGATAATCGGAAACAAATTTGTAACCATGCTGAGCCAGTGTTTGAACAAAGTCACCCTCCTGCTTTCATTTAAATCTGGGATAATAACTTTCAATCATAAAACGTATGAACAGACAAACAATTCAATTTACTACAGACCCACCACACTATGTAACACTGACTATAAGAGATGAACAAAATGTATAAATAATAGCAGATGTTGTCAGCAAAACACATACATGCAGTATTCCAAAGAGAAACATCCAGTATAATAACACTCTAATTAGCGACGTAATCCACATTAGCAACAAAAGAAATCCGACGCATCAATAGTCACAAATGATCGGGAGAAGGCGTTTGCTCGCGTCAACCAAGACTTTCTCCTGTTCATACTCTCAAATCATATTTTTCCCAACAATATCATACAATGGACAAAAAACATTTACACATGAATTACAACAACAATTAATGTTAACGGATACTTGTTCAGGAAAATACCTATCAGTTCTGGAGTAAGACAGGGGTGCCCTCTCTCCCCAGCCCTTTTTTGTCCTGACGACTGAAGCTCTCCTCTCCTCTATAGAACAACTTTAAAACATCAAAGGTATCCCGATCCTGGGAAACCCAGGAGAAGAACAGAAAGTAACTGCTCGTGCAAACGTTGGACCAAAGACTGTGATAGAATCAATTCCAGGTGTTTTGAAACGTCTAGACGCGATCTCGCCTGCAAAATAGTACGGTCAGAATAAGACTTAACAAAATTACAACAATAAATAGCTGCCACTGTCTAGAAACTGTTCGTCATGCCATATATGACTGTGTGATATTAGTTGCATTATGGAGGAAATTCGCCTTCATATTCAGCATCAATTACGTCATGTTTAATACAGTACTTTTCTGTCATCCTATTTCTGTTCTTAAACCTCATGTTCTTGTTTTCCTTTCAGTACTTACTAGGGGTGTTTAAGGTGCAGATCTAGGCATCCAGATGTA